CCACCATTTCTACTCCTCTTCTGTCAACTATCAGTGAGAAACCGGCAACAGCCCTTCTTTCCCTCACTGTCACTCAGAGCCCGGTTTATCCTTTGATAATGGAAGCAGGCAGAGAAACGGCTGCATGGCTAACACCTGGCTAACGGCACCTTCCCGGCAGTATCTCCTCTACCCGTCCCGACGGGTGTCGGAATTGACCCCCCTTGCCCATTGTACACTAATGACGACTCCAGAGCACCCCAAAAACCGCAGGCTGAAATGTCTTCTCTGGGCAAAATTAACATGTTGAGAAATAACCTACGCTTTGGAGATCCCAACTTACAAACAGGAATATAAAAAAAAATATTCTTAATGTTTGTAAGTAAATACATTGTTTATTCCAGTCCTTTTCCATATTTGCTCTCAGGAGTAATTTATTTTAAGAGAAAATGACATACAAAACCAAGCCAGTCAGAGCTTAGAGATACTGATAATGAGCATCAATTATGAAAGACTCCTCGCCTCCCAAAACACAGTCACCACCACCCTCCCACGTGGCCCACGCCACATTCCCTCACCTTGAGGTCCAAAGCGCCCAGTCAGAATTGTTTCTAAATTTAAATAGCACCAAGATACAGAGGGGGCAATTATTCTTCGTTTTTTGCTGTGCCGAAAATATGTAGTTAAACTAAAATATAACTTTCTGCTTAAATTGTGCAATTCAAGGTGCTGGAATAATGGTTCTTAATTTTAAATCAAATTTAACACTGTTAAAAGGAATATGACAGTCACTGTTGGGAAAATACAGGCTTTACTTAAAAATTATACCATGCCTGGAGGAAAAAAACTAAAAAAATCCAACAACAGTGGAATGGTTTCATGAATTATGCTACATTATCTCAACAGAATATTATGTGCAGGAAGTAGAAATGATCTTTATAAAGATTTCTTAATAATATAGGGAAAAGCTTATAAGGTTAAATGGGAAAAAAGCACAACAGAATTTTATACATAATATGTTCTCAACTATGTAAATATAATGCATAGAAAAAAGACTTAGAGGAATGATACCAAAACAACTGTCACCCACGAGGGCCGGTGTGGGCCTGCACCCCCTCTCCACGCCTGCCTGAAGGGCACACGCACAGGCCCAGGAACCACAGAGTGATTACTAACAAGCACCTGTCTGGGGCCCCAATGCAGACAACAGGTTGGAAAACACAGCTTAGGCTCAAGGCTAGATGAGGCCTCCTTCCCCCCAGCCCCAATCCAGACGTCGGGACCCACACACTCAGCTGAGCCCAGAGAGGAAGAAACTGGAGCCAATTCTGCTTCCCGACCAGCAGCCCAGAGAAGAGGCTCAGGCCGGTTCACAGGCCAGGACACGGGCAGAAGGAGAGAGGGAGGAGGGCTCACCACACGGAGGCAACAGAACGAGGCACCAAAATGGAGCCCAGGCGGATGCAAGACTCTCACCAAGCCGCCTACTAACTCCTCCCATGGAAGAGTGAGTGCAGGGATGGAGAGCGGGGACCCTTTCCCAGCACCCCCTGCAGGGCTGTGCGGGGAGAGAGGTTCTTAAAGAAAGGAACAGCTGCAAAGAGGAGAGATATAAATAAATGTTCTCCTCAACAGTGGGACTATCAAGTACTTTAACTCTCTCCTTCATCCTGTCTGCACTTTCCAATTTCTCTATACTGAGCAAGTATTTCTACTAAAAGTATTTAAAAGCCAAGTTTTCTAATCGCACAACACAAACAGGAACTTTCTGTAGGATTTGATTCAATACAGGTACATACTGAGCTTCTACTCTGTGCAAAGCATGATGCACACACATAAGACACGATCCCTAGCTCCAAGGAGCTGAAATCTACTGGGGGTTACAAGGAGAGGAAAAAGAAAAGAAAACACATCAGTGATAAGGCAAAACTGAACCACAGTATTCAAAATTATAAGGGATATGGGTAAATATGGGTAAAAAGTAAAAAGCAATAACAAGAGTTGGCGAGGAGGTGGACAAATTGGAACCCTCCTATGTTGCTGGTGGGAATGTCAAATGGTGCATTCACTCTGGCAAGTAGTCTGGCAGTTCCTCAAAATGTTAAAGATCAAGTTGCCAGATGACCCAGCAATGTTACTCCCAGGTAGACAACGAAGAGAAGTGAAACACGTCCATACCAAAACTTGTACACAAAGGTTCACAGCAGCATTATCCATAATAACCAAAAAGTAGAAAGAACCCGAATGTCCATCAACAGGTAAATGGATAAACGAAACGTGGTATATCCATATAATGAAATGTTATTCAGTCATAAAAGGGACTGAAGTACCAATACATGCTACAACACAGATGGACCTTGAAAACATGCTAAATGAAAGAAGCCAGTCTCAAAAGACCCCATACTGTATCACTGTGCTTACAGGAAATGTCCAGAAGAGGCAAACGTACAGAGACAGAAAGTAGATCAGCAGTTGCCCCGGGCTGGCAGAGCAGGGGAAAGAGAGGACTGGGGAGTGGCTGCCATGGGTATATGATTTCTTTCTAGGGTGATGAAAATATTCTAAAATTAAAGTGTGGTGATGGCTGCACTACTATGAATATTCTAAAAAGCACTGAACTTTTCACTCAAAGTGGGGGAATTTTATGGTATGTACATTATATCTCAATGAAGCTATTTTTTCAAGCAGGAATGGTTACAATTGGGTGGAGGTCAGGAGTGGGTGGAGGAACAGAGGAAACAAGACTGGCAGAAAGGTGACAAACCCTGAAGCCAGATGATGGTACCCGGGGCTTCACCACACCATGCTGTTAACCAATATGTGAAAATTCCCATAGTAAAAAGCTCTTTAAGGTTAAGTTGTGAGCTGCCTGTGGACCATTCTGTCCAACCCTCCCCGGGCAGGAATTCCCATCAGCCATTCCTGCGGGAACCCCATTCAGTTCATGTCATAGTCGACTTGCCACCATTCTTCAGCCCATTTCCAGCAGGTCACCAGTAACACCCACAATGTCAAACCTTTTGGTCAATTTCCAGTCTGTCCCTGTTTTGATTTTTGTGACCCTCACACCAGGCCTCTTCCCTGCCTCTAAAAGCCCTCCTCCCCCGTTTCCTTCCCACGACTGCCCATCATTCCCCCGTGGGCACACACACCCGCTCCGTCCCTGTCTCCTCTGCTCCAGGAGGAGGACAGCAGGAGGTTCGCTCTTCCAGGCCCTCTCGCCACTGGCGGGGCAAGAAGGGCAAGTCAGGAAGGCTTATGAAAACGAGCACACTCAGGCAACGTGCCCCTCTGGCCTCTGACCCTGTGCCCTTTACCACCTCCCTCTTTCCATACTTAGGACACGGACCCTAAGGAGGTATGCAGAGCTGCCAAATGCATGTGGCCTTTGTCCGAAGGCCATATGCTGCTGGTAAGGGGCAGAGCCTGAACCAGGCAGTCAGGCTCCAGGGCTGCATCTTCAACAACGGGGTCCCTGAGGACACGACTCAGCAGTGGCATCAGCCTGGACTACTGACATTTTACACAAACGTTCCAAAACCACACTGTACCTCCACTCCATGCACGTATTCTTGTGTATATACGCACATGTGTGGTGGCTGTTGCAGGAAGGCAAGGAAAGTCTCTTTGAGCTTAAATGAAGACACCACTTACAGAACAGATTCTCTTTTCTGCAGTTTTTCTCTCTTCTGGACAATTAACATCACGGTCACGCCCCTTTGTCCGATCTTGCAACTACATTAAGGACCGCTTGGGTCTTACAACATAAGTTGGTGGTAAAGTAAAGACAAACTTATTTACCACATTAATTAAATGGTCTATTTAACATGGAATATCAATTCTCTAATCACATCTCGGTTGAACTTCTTTCAATTAACAACTCTGAAGTCTACTGACAGAGGTCCTACTGTTCTAGGATCATTAAGAACATTTTCATTATCCGTCAAATGAGGGAGTCAGCAGCAGAAACACAAGAGCTCTCAGGAGCAGCCTCTCCCTACTTAAGAGATGATTAGGGAGCCAGCAGCGGCAGTTCTCATTAGTTGCTTAGCAATGAAAAGACCTCCTCTGAAATCATAAATGGAAACAAAGTATGAGGGCTCGCAACAAAATGCACTAAATGGCTCTGTTCTCATCCTCAGAGGATAATCTGTCCTCGAGTAAACCTAATCTCTCCAGATTACAACAATCGTGGGCTCTGAAGCAGACAGGAAACTGAAACGGCTAAAAGCACAATGTGATAAACACAAACACACCAAGTCGGGAAGGTCCAGGGAAAGATAAATTAACATCAGAGTTAAACGAAAATGGTGCAACCAAAGAGCAAAGTCCTCTCACGGCAGGTACCCTTTATCCACAGACGGCTTAAAGAGCAGATCCCTCACTCACATCACCAGCATTGTTTAAAACTTAAAATATGTTCACAACAGGTGCAATTATGACAGCTGGCTGCTGTAAGATAAACGGAAGCAAAAACGCACAGTACTCAAAAAGAAACAGCATAACCCAACCTGAGCCTCCGTCAAACCACTTACTCTGCATGTAATTAATATTTCCATAAAATGAGATGCTACTAGTATATCAGAAGTACAAAGGTGACAAAATGCTGCAGAAATGCAACTAAGATTCAGTTTTTAGCTAGTAAGCAAAACATTCAACTAATATTCTATCACCTTAACCTTATCCACTTAAGTTCCAACCATTATAGCCAGTGCTCTGATGGCCATTAGAACGAAAGTACACTCTCCGAATATATTACAGTTCTCCTTATACATTATTAAAAAGGAGATATTAATAACTGCATCTTAATGTCTTCAGTGGTTGAGCATGTGGATTTAAAGACATTTTTTAAAGCTAGCATCAATGAGAAAACTATTATTCTCTATTATTAGGTGTCATTAATAACACTAAACTTAATGTCAATTTTCAATACTGGTATAATTATGCACAGTAACATTAAGTAAGGCCACCAAAGTTCATGTTTAATCTTGGTGAGAAAAAACTTCATGATATGATCTTACCTATGTATTCGCAAATGAAGACCACGAAGAAAGGAGTGACAAGGTCATTTATCCCCTGCACGTATCCACTGGCGGGGTGACGGATCGCCCATATGAACAATATCCTTTCAAAAATCTGAAAGAAAATTGAACAGGCGGTGAAGCAAAAAGTAAACACATCAGAAACTTTCAAATGTATGCATTCTTCTACTTAAAATATATACTATCAATATTTTTCACTGACTCTAATATTAAAATACAAATATAAACAAATATCAACTGCTGTTTAATTTTTTTGTAAAATTCCAATTATCATAATTTTTCATTGACTCACAAGCAATATGCAGTATTTCACCAATGCCTGGGCTCAGTCCTACCACATGAGCTAGCTCTCACAAAAGATGCTCTCTGTTCCTCCAGGCCCCTCGGGTAACAACTGCACACGGCTGCCCAGGAATTGGTCGGGCAGCACAGCACCTGGCCCATCAGTGAGTACTTCCTCAGTGACAGAGGGATGGATGATGGATGGATGATGGACCGATGATGGATGGATGATGGATGGATGAGTAGAGAGATGGGTAGAGATGGGTGCATGCATGGACAGATGGATAGATGAATAAAAAGAAAGATGAATGGAAGGGAGGGAAGGAGGGTAGGTAGGTGTGTGGATGCTCTGAATTTCCCTGATAAGGTAAATAGACTTTTTTTCTAGTTGAGGTACAGCATGATATTAGTTTCAGGTGTAGAACATAATGATTCAATATTGGTATATATTGCGAAATGGTCACCACAATAAGTCTAGTTAACATCAGCCACTATAAATAGTTACAAATTTTTTTCTTGTCATGAGGACTTTTAAGATCTACTCTCAGCAACTTTCAAATATGCAACACAGCGTTATTAACTATAGTCACCATGCTGTACATTACATCCCTAGGACTTGTTTATTTTATTTTGATCCCCTTCACTCCTTTCCCCACCCCTACGCCAGCCTCTGGCAACCACCAATCTGTTCTCTGCATCTATGAGCTTGGGTTTTTTCCATCGATTTTTTTTAATCACTGTAAAGTTATCACCATCCAAGAAAACATACTCAAGCATCTTCCCATCACATATATTCCCACCAGCCATTCAATTACCCAGGCCATCAACATGGGACTTATCTCAGCCTCTTCTCTTTCTTTACAACACTCACATTTAATTGATACTTCCTCTTACCATCACTCACACTCACCCACTCTCTTCTCTCTTTATTCACAAGAGGGATTTTACCAAGGTGCAACGCAATCCCACCACCTCGACCACACAAGCACACACATGCATGTGCACACACGGCTTAAAGACATTCACCTGCCCCACACCTCCCACAGACAGAGCCCAGAGACCACAGTGCAGTGCCCTGGTCCCCTCCCCGCCCCAGCACCCACATTCTAGCTGCACTGAGCTACAGCACACTTCTCTGAGCCCACAGGCTGTCACCTGCTATGGTGCCTGCTGCCTAGAAAGCCTGTCTCTCTCCTAACTTACCCAGCTTTCAGACTCACTTCAAGCACTGCCCCTCGACGGAGACTCGGCCATGTGCTCCTCCCTCTCCTTTTTGGGAGAGCCAACCACTTACTGCTTTGTGAAGCTCCTGGCCCCCAGTCCCCAGGCAGAGTGCCCTGCAGAGCCCTACCCACCGCCCTCAGGGATGCACCCACTGCTAGCGCCAGCCTGAACTGTGGGCTGCTGCCGCTGACGCCAGGTCCCCCTGCCGTCCCAGGCGTCACACTAACAAGGCGTGCAGTGCAGGCCTGACAAGCGAATGCTCAAACAAAGGATGAATTACATCATTTCCAAACCAACCAACTTTGCAAGGGCAACTGTATTTGTCCCCGAGAAGGTCAATCCCTTCCTGTAACACCGGCATCACTAAACATCACTGAGCTTGTAGCCTAGATCCCCCAAATCACCACCAACCCCTGGCATTTACAATGAGGGGCCTGGGGCCCAGTCAGGGAAGTCTCTTAACCCAGGGCCTGCAGAGCAGCCCTAGAATGCAGGTCCCCAGCCCAATTCCCACCCTAGGACACCACCCACTGCGCTTGTTCCAAATGAGTAACAAAATAGCCACCACTTACAGGCCAGCACCTCAGCCCAGCACTGTAACAGCCAGCAACGACAAATATTTGCTGAATGAGTAATACATCCACGCGTCTCTATTCATACACATTTTTCATTGTAAGTCAACAGCTTCTTAGAGAGAACTGAATATTCCAACAAGACCAAAAGACCAGAATCACTCAACAACACGGCACCACTAAGTATTTCTCATGCACAAACACTAAGTGGTCGACACTGACGCTCCAGCGTTGGGCACCTTCACCCTCGGTGGGGCTGGAAGCAGCGCTCTCAACAAGCCAGCACAGTGGGCAGCCCCTCAGACGGCCTAGGAGGGCCGAGGAGGAAGCAGGGTCCCGGCAGGAAGGACCCCTTTCTCTCGGATCCCAGCACCTCTCAGCCACGGTCAGAAATGCAGCAGCCACAGCCCTGCCATGTGGGCACAAGGAAGGCCCTGGACACAGCAGCACAACTGCACAGCCCTTCCTCACCGGGGACAGGGTGGGGGCAGGGCTGTGGTCAGGTCAGGGAGGTGAAGGCATGCTCACTGTGGAGACCCCCCAGCACGAGGAGACTCGGCAGCCCCCAGGACCACTCAGCAGGAAGCCTCCTCAGGGGCTTGGAGCCAGCAGTTCAGCAGCAGGCAGAGGCGGGACCGGGGCCGCACAGGGACAAGCAGGACCAGTGACAGACAGGCAGGAGAAACTCATGCGAGTCCACCACACAGAGCAGTGAGCAGACAAGGCTGAGCATCTCCTCAGTAACAAGAAGCCGAGTGCGTAATACACATCATTGGTGGATTTCTACCCAACACTGCAAAGTTCTAGCAAAGATACCAGCTGGGTGGGGAATTCACCCACATGCACGCTCAACCACAATGTGGCCAGGAAGAGCGGAGCCTGGCCATGGGTGCGTACCCCATCAGCTCGCTGGCCAGGCCCCCAGCCCTGAACCCACAATAAGGAAATGGTGCTGAGAGAGGTGACTCGACTTGCTGGGGCCCGTGCCTTCCCTGGTGGAGTCTGCGCTCCTACAGCCATTCCCGGCATGGCCCTCATCCCCTGCACACAGCCACACTCAAGACACGGCACCAGGAGCACCCAGCTGGGGCTCAGGCTGCTCCCAGCAAAGCTCTCAGGCTGATAGGGGAACGGGGCACCCGTAACGACAGCCACAGCATGTAAGGGGCACCGTCTGCAGTGCCCTCCAGGTCAGAGTGGTGTAAGGCAGGGAGCAAGGGCCCCTGTGGTTGTTAGGTGACAGCCAGGCCTGAGCAGGGCTGGGAAGAACAGAGATGTGTCAGCCATGCAAACACAAGGATGGAAGGGCTCCACAGTGGGTAGTCTACACAGAGGGACAGAGAGGGGACACAGAGAACATTCTGGAGGCCACTCAGGGCAAAGGAGAGCTGGCAGGGAGCCTGGAGGGCACGGCATAGAGAAGGCAGGAAGGAGTCACTGGGGATAGCCAGGAATGCAGCAGTGAAGTATGGGGCTCAGTCAGCAACCTAACAGCTAGGAAAGATGATGATAACACAGTCAGGCAACAGCAGCTGACAATTATTAAATGATTCCTGTGTCCCAGCAGCCCCAATTAACCCGTCTCAGCCTCCCAGAAACTCTTTGAGGCATGTGCTGTTATCCCACTTTCAGATGACGTGGCAGACAGACCCCAGGTGGCCCTGTGTCCCCTGCTTCTGCTGTGCACGCCCTTGTGTGTCCCCTCCCGTGAGTGTGGGCAGGCCCTGTGACCTGCTTCTGACCAATCAAGTACAGCAAAAGGGACGGGATATACACGATCGTGTTACATGAGATCGGAACCCGTCTCGCCAGGGACGCTCTCCCTTGCTGGCTTCGAGGAAGCCAGCCGCCACGCCGTGAGCTGCATCTAGAAAGGGCCGTAGGAACTGAGGGCAGCCAAGAGCCAGCAAGAAACCGAGGCCCCCAGTTCTGCAGCCTACAAGCAACCAAATTCTGCCAGCAACTACATGAGTGTGGCAGTAGCTCCTTCAGATGAGTCTGCAGCCCAGCCAACACCTTGATTGGCGCTTGGTGAGACCCTGAGCTAGAACACGTCCAGACTCCTGACCCACAGAAACGGTGAGACAACACGTGAATAAACGTGTATTGTTTTAAGCCACTAGGCTTATGGCTATATTGCTATGCAGCAACAGATAAACTAATACAGATGAGAAAACTGAGGCACAGAGAAGCTAAGCAACTTATGCAAAGTCACACAGCCTGTAAGTAGCAGAGCCAGAGTTCCACTCCAGTAGTGTGACTAAAGGGTGACCTGTAAGGCGTACTGCCACCACTGCTATACATTAGGATAAAAGAGTTGTTTTCATACATAAATCAAAAAGGAAGAAAGACCAAGAAATTATAATTTTACAGTAAGAAAGAAACAGAAAAGACGATGAGCTCCTGGTGAGCAAAATCTATACCTGATTGATTTGCATCCGCCTGAGGTCCAGCAGGGAATCACGCAGCAGGGACTTGGGTGTGGGTGTGTAGTGCGCATGTGTGTGTGCGTGCGCAGGTATGAGGTGTGTGCGCACGTGTGTGTGTGGACTACAGGAAAGGCTGGAGCTCAGGGCACAGGGATATCTGCTTCTCCAGGGATATCTCCTTCTCCTCCACACTCTCCTCTCGACCAGTGGTCATTGGAGCAGTGGAGCGCTCCCGCCTTTGAACTGAGCCCCACACTTGCAGAGAGCTCGTGACATACACAGGCCTAAACCTACTCACGCGCACGAGCGCACTTTTTCCCGTGGCAGCACAGGCACTGAAGAAAACCAATTTGCCGCAGATGGTTTAGCCAGCTTCACCCAGGGAGGAATGAGGGGGGGCTCTCAAGCACACCCAGCTCCCGCCCTTGCAGACAACTAGAATGGACTGTGCGCTGGGATTCCCGGGCCTCAGGGCGACGAGAGGTCTGAGAACGCTGCAGCAGAGACTGGGCTCCTGACTCAGCGCCCGGCTTCTCTCGTGGAGGCCAGAGCCGGCTGTCCTGAGATGGACAAGGCCCCCCAGACCT